TCCTGTGGTTTAATATCTGCCACTTACTGCTCATTTACTGACCACAGTTCTCAGTGATTTTTGTGATCATGTCATTCCAGACACAGGAAAACAGCCACTGGATCTACGGCTGATTGTCCTGATTTCTGGGTCTGTCTTCCTCTTTGGCTGGTTTGTTATAGAGATGTCTGCATACTGTAAGTATAGCAGAGATATGATGCATAATTTACCATAAAGGCTGAATATGTGTACTAGGACTTTGTTGACATCTCCATATGCTCAGTACTAAACCTGGATGAATATTACATTTTTAACCACAGTGTTATTTATTCACTATAGCTGTGACTCATGACCTAACATTGCACAACACTGATACTTTAATTTTTTTAAGCTTTTTTTGTTCTTCCTTTATGATGCTGCTTCAGTGGTGTAGGACTGTATTGGCCTCCTGGCCAGTAGGGGGCACTGACACTGTACTGGGGAGCTCTGACTATTACAAAGGAAGGGAGATGATTTAAACACATCCTCAGTGATACATCACATGTGTCTATGTAATACAGAAAACTGTCACTCAGTAATCATTATTATATAATAATTATACATATGCAAGTAATCATTAGTTCTCATTACACATTATCATTACTCATTTTTTATAACACAGCAGCTACAATAAACTGTCTTAGCATTGATATCTTAGTATTTTGAGGTCCAACAGTTAATTGCATCTTTTCTAATTACAGGGTTGGTTAAAAAAGAAAGGTAAGTAGACATTTTACTTAATACATGTACAAGTCATCACAGAGCACACACACATTAACATACGAGGGGACATTTATAGATGCTGGTTGGCCAAACATCATGTTTTGGAACTGGGAGGAACCCGGAGTATCTGGGGAAACATGCAAACTACACATGGCCCAAGCCAGGAGGTGTGAGGTGCCAGTGTTACCCACCGAGTCACCAGGCAAACTACACAGAGCCCAAGCCGGGGGGTGTGAGGTGCCAGTGTTACCCACTGAGTCACCACGTAAACTACACAGAGCCCAAGCCGGGGGGTGTGAGGTGCCAGTGTTACCCACTGAGTCACCACGTAAACTACACAGAGCCCAAGCCGGGGGGTGTGAGGTGCCAGTGTTACCCACTGAGTCACCACGT